CTCTTGAGGAGATATTATTTGCTACAGATACCCCCCCCCCCCATATTAAAAGCAAATCACGTATGTTTAGGCACTGACTTGTCTAAGTACACAGAGAAATCCACATTGACAAAAACTCCCTAAGAGTTATAAACAGGTTTTTAGTAGCATTTATGCTTAAACATTAGGCTGCAGGAAACACCAGTTTAACACTCATTCTATTGCCTAGGACAGTGATGGCTAACCTTTTTTTTCTCGTGTGCCAAAAGCGCAAGTGCGCACGATAGCACATGTGCGTGCCCACACCCATAATGTAATTCCCCCCATGCATGCACTGCCCCTGGGCATGCGCACGCATTCCCCCCTCACGCTGCCCTGCCTCCCTGTGCATGCGCATGTGACTCTCCCCCCCCCCGGTGCTCCCCACCCCCTTGCACAAGTGCACGTGACAGTGGTGGTGGATTGCTCCCGGTTCAGTCCGGTTCTATAGAATCAGTAGTAAAACCGGTGGGAGGCTGCATCCACCCGACACAATGTCATCATTTGCATGCGCAGAAGCGTCCGCGCTCCCGCTGCAAACCGGTAGTAAAGGTAAGTGGAACCCACCCCTGGCACATGACCCCCCCCCCACACACACACATCCCTTGTTTGGGTCTAGCAGACCTTCCTGAAGCCTCTGGGGGCCAGAAATGGGCCATTTCTGGACTTCCGGTAGGCCCATTTTTCACCCTCCACAGGCTCTGGAGGCTTTCCTGGAGCCTCCAGGAGGGCGAAAACAGCCTCCTCCGGCCCTCCAGAGGCCGGAAACAGCCCGTTTCCGGACTTCCAGTAGGCCTGTTTTTTGCCCTCCCAGAGCCTCCGCGCAAATTCTGTACTTACCTGGCATCCAAAATGGACCACATGGAGACTCCTGGAAGGGATGGGGTGGTATGGGCACACATGCGCGTCTCCCGCTTTGTGAGCTGAGACTCAAAAATCAGCTGGCCGGCATGCGCGCATGCGCAGTGGAGCTAACTTAGGGGGACAGCTTGCATGCCTGCAGAAATGGCTCCGTGTGCCACCTGTGCCATAGGTTCACCATCACGGGCCTAGGATTTCTGTTGCCTAGCCCTAGGAGGCAATGGAAGTTAACTCATACTGTTTAAAAAAGCAGGAAGGAGAACTAAGAAAAAATGTTTGTTTTTAACATCAATACTCAAGAAGAGCTTTAAAAGATCTGGGAAAGATACATATCCAACACAGACTAACTCTTTTCATCCTTTTGAAGTATATTTCTGCAGATTTGAAAGAAATAGGAACAAAAGGTTTGATGGTTTTATCTCTTGTAAGTTTCCTATTTTATGTACATTGAAGCTTTGAGCTTTAGAGATTTCTACATTTATAATAATCAATGTTTATAAATAACGAGGTAAGCATGATTGTTCATCTTAATTATGCAAACCAGCGGTAGAACAAATATGATAGCCACCCACAATTACCTCTAGGTAAGATGGGCAACACAGAGGTCTAATAAATAAACAACATCAAACTTTATTGAACAAGAAAAGATGTTTAATGGAATTTATGTATCTAGTGAATGGAATGAGAGAAATAACAATACAAGTGGTGATATTATCAGCTAGATAGCTATGTTAGTAGTTGATTTCCTCCTCCCCCCCTCTCTCCAGGGAAACCACAGAGTCTGGAAAGACCCTCCGCTATATTAGGCGGTACTGTATGAGTAAGACTCTTTGCTACTTTTTCCACCAGCAAAGACAGCTGAACGCTTCAGATCATAAGGCTTAATTGGCATATTTTTATCAGCATATTAGAAATGTAGAGCTTCTACTTTTGCATATTTTAGTTAAGTGGAAAATACAGGTTTTATTTATTTAGACAATTTATATGACCGTCCATTTGCCAAAGCAACTCTAGACAGTTTGCAAAATATTAAAAACAATGATCAATAAATTTTTAAAACATACATTCTGGCTTGCTACCACATCATTCCCAAGACAGGTACATCTAACACCTGACCCAAAAACTCTGGGGGAAAGCAAGTTTGTAATGCTTTCCAAAAGACCAGCAAGATTTGGGCCAATCAAATATTGGGATGGAGGGAATCATTTTAGAGGACAGGCTACCACAGAAAAGGCTTGTTTCCTAAGTCAAACTGGATGCAATTGATGCAAAAAAATTAAAATAAATCTGCAGCATGTAATCTGGAATAATGAGTAAAACAAGAAGAAATAATCAGGGCTACCAATCCTGTACTATGTAGGTTTTATAGATGATAATTAGCACTTTGGGTTGCAACCAGAAGACAATGAGGAGCCAGTGCAGATTGTGAAGTGGTGATATTACATAATGTACCCTGGTATTCCCATAATTACCTACACTTATGTATTGTGGCGCAATAGCAGCTTCCAAATTATTTTCAAGTGCAGCTCCATGTAGAGTGCATTGCAGTGCCCTACCAAGAAATCACCAAGGAGCCTCACAAACCAGCTAAAATAGTACAAATGCCCTCTTCATTAGCTGCCACCTACTTAAATCCTGGAAAATTTCCAAACAATACACTAATTCTGACAGAAGAGTACAACCCATTCCAGAGCCAGTGCTGGGAAATCTTCACCCCAAGATCAAAGGCACCCAAAAGCATAACCACTTGGTCTTGCTGGAATTGAGTCAAAACTTAATCTTCCTCATTCACAACCTCATGGCTTTCAGACACTCATGGAGCACTTTGACAGCATAACTTGGTCAATCCAGAGTAGAGAGGTACAATTAAGTATCATCAGCATGCTGATATTTTACCCCATACCAACAGATGTCAAGTTTTGTGTAGTTTAAAAAGAGTGGGGAAGCAGACTTATAGCTAGATAGTTCCTCTCCCACCAATACAAACTAAAAAGGGCCTGGTGGCTCAGCAGACTGATAGCATTGTGATTAACACCAGCTGTCTGCCATTACTGTAAGTTCGAATCTCACCAGGCTCAAGGTTGACTCAGCCTTCCATCCTTTCTAAGGTAGGTAAATTGAGGACCCAGTTTGTGGGGGCAATAAGCTGACTTTGTATAAATATACAAAAGGATGAAGGCTATTGCTTAACGCATTGTAAACCGCCCTGAGTCTCCGGAGAAGGGCGGCATATAAATCAAATTTTAAAAAAAAAAAAAACCATTCACAGAGAAAGGAAAAGCAACATAACAGTGTGCTTCCCATTTACAAACCCTGGTCCAGAAGGATACCATTGTAAAAAGCCCCCACCCAGAGAATGAAATATTTTGGAGAATATTAAAAGAGGCAGAATATTATATTTCCCCAAAGGAGAAATGGAGAAATTTTTTTAACAAAGACAGAAAGCAGTCCCAACAGCCTCCAGTAGATGTCTGAAGTCTTTAGAGATGGATATTTTGTGCCCATTAAGAAATCCAGGCCAGCCTATTCACAAACAAAACACCTTCAACTCGTTGATGGAATTAACATTTATATCCCCCACCCAAATTCTAAGAATAAGACATGACCTTTAGGACATAATATGATTAACCCACCACCATTTCGGTAGAATAGCAAAAGACACCAGGGTCTCTACATTGCACAACCCTCTAGCAGCATCTCAGAACCTTATAAAAATCCATGTACTCATCAAAACAATCTGTCAGCTGTCCCAGAACTACATGCTGTATTGGTTCTGCTCATCAATAAAAAAAGTCCTTCTTTCCAACCAGCCTCCATTTTATTTCCACCGCCTTTCTTCCAGCTTGGAAATGGACTGGAGTTTTCTTCCAACACCATGGTTGATGATATTGAAAGCTGCTGAAAGGGCAGTGAGAATTGTCCACCATAAGTCATCAGCAGAAATACAATTTGCAAATAACAGGAGGTGATCACTCACTTTATTCTGTTTTGGCCAAATCCCAAAACAATATTGCAGTATGGTCAGTTCTGTATACCATGCTTTAAGATGAAACTGATATACGAAGAGACTACCAGGGTATAATCTAAGTAATATGACTTAATTTAGACAGTTTCAGGAAGAATTGGACAACTAATTCGAAGAGGTTCCTTTAATCCTACTTCTCTCCTATCAGGAACACACAGAAGGAAATAGGATATAGGAAAACAAATAAAGGCAAACTTGGGCCGGCAATGGAACACAATTGAGATAATTGTCCAATAAACAAAAATCAGGATTTTAATTATGCAACTTATTTTTTCTTAGATCCACCATCCAGTTTTCATGGATTGCACTTTCTAACCTAGAAGTTAGCCAGTCCCAGGATGAATGCTCCCTCGTCCCATGAGAGAGAGAGAAAGACAAAATGAAACTACTCTGTTCCTTAGTTAAAGACCACCTAAGACAGTGATGGCTAACCTTTTCTGGACTGAGTGCCCAAAGCGTGTGCCCGAACCGCCAAAATGCAATGCACATGCAGCCTCTGAGCATGCATCCCGCCCCCGCCCCCATGCATGCGTCCATGCCCCCCACCCCTCTGCATGCACAGCAGAGACCCAAAGACCAGCTGGCCGGCAGGAGGCGCACGCGCATGCAGGCAGAGCTGAACTGGGTTGACGGTTCACATGCCCACAGAGAGGGCACGTTGTGCCACCTCTGGCACGCGTGCCATAGGTTCGCCATCACAGCACCATAACAACACAATACAGTTCTGAACAATGGTGTTTTATTTCCCTTGAAATAACACAGTGGTTCCCAAACTTTTTCAGTCCACCGCCCCCTTGGTGCTACAAACTCATCCTCAGAGCCTCCCATCCCCATCCCTATAAATAGCATTGTTCGGAATAGCAGTTTGCACGACCCACTAAGGAAGATAGTAACAGTAAAATTCAAAACTGAAACAATTAATTGCACATTTATTCAAAATCCAATTTAAAAATCTTTTGTTAATTCAACAAAATTGTTGAACATGATCCAGTGATACCAGATTTTCAAAGTCTGATAGTAATTTATCAAGAACCTTAGTAACTACTAACTTAGTAAACTCAGTAAAATTTAGTAACTACTTCACTATTCAGTAAATTCTTAATGTGATGGATGGGCTTGATGAAATGATACCAGTTTCCCAATGTCTGGTTTTAAGTCACTTAGCAGGAGTCTTAAATCACCACATTCAGTAATCTGGAGTCGATTTCTTTGCTTGGAGAGAAGTTGGATAACCACACTGAAACCATGTTCCACCAAGTATGATGTTGCAAATGCAACAAGGAGCTTCTTAACCACTGTCCATAGTGCAGGATAGCGATCAGAAATTTTCTTCTGTAACCAAAACTCTTGGTACAATTTCTTAAACTTTGGCTTCAGCTCAATGTCATTTTGCAGCTCTATTAGTTGTTCCTCCTCCACTACCCCATCTTCCTCAGTATCTGAAAATGGATTTATCACCCAATCTGGAATTTCCATCAAAAGAAGACCCTGATATCGCTCAGACATATCTTTATGCAGCATGTCCAAAACCTTGCAGATCATCTTATATCCTACCTTTCTCTTCTAGCTCGGACAAGCTCGGAAATTGGTATAGCTCGCAATGGCCTACATTGCGCTTGAATAGAGTTAACTTTGAAATAAACGTAGAGATGACAAATTTGGCCTTAATAAGATTGACCTCATTTCCTTCCAACTGCAAATTCACTTCATTGAACTTTGCAAACAGTTCTGATAAATAAGCAATGTCATGCCTGATCTCTTTGAGTTCATCACTAAGGTAATGACTGATGGCCACCTAATGTCTTCACCTATGCAGGTTCTCAAAGATTTCTAAGACCAGTGTTGAATACTTAAATTTCAGTAGTCACCAATCCCAGTCTTAAAATGAGTTTAGAATCAGTGGGAGTCACTGATAACAATGAACTACTAGCTACTGATAATGAGTCCAGTCCTGCCTTTCTTTTCCTTCTGTCCAAGTTTTGCAAGTACTTTTTCCAAGCATATGTTTTATTCCACAGTATACAAACCATTATTGTTAGGGGGAAATTGCTCTTTCAAGCAATTTTAAAAGACACTGTCAGAATGACTCTGCTCTCAGCCCACTTTGTGACTCCTTGAAAAGCATCCCCCCCCCACACGCTCCAACACCTGAGGAGGCAGGAATGGGCTGCAGGTGTCTAGAATTAAAAGGTGGCTCGAATCCCTAGTATAGTCCTCCTGCATGAGAAGGGGGTTGCTAGATGACCTCCAAGTTCCCTTCAAACTCTTACTGATACTGGCCCTGGCTTTCCTGGCGGAACAGCAGTGGCGGCAATGATGGCGGCAGCGGCAACGACTGCGGCAACAGCTCCCCACACACACACACATGGCAGCCCACCTGGATCCTCGGCAGGGGGGCGGCAGGCCTGGCTGGCCGCATACTAGCCATCCCGAGAAGGCCTCTGGTGACATTGGGGTCTGTGGCAAAGCTCCCAATTTCTCCGAATGCCTCTTTCTTACCGTTGTAAGGGGATGGGCTGCGGTGCGCAAACTTCAAAAGCTGTTCTGCTGCCGCCTGCACCGCTTGCTTGGAGCTGGTTTGGAAAGGGAAAAAACGCAGCTGAATTAGGCGAGACTGCCCCACCCAGATCCCTCCAAACAGCTCTCCCTACAGTAGCCTTCCCGCTGAAAAGCTTTCCTGCTTCTCCTCTGCCTGCATTCTGTTACAGGCTCTGTACCCAGGTAGTGGCCGATGGCCCCGGGAAGTGGTGTCTTGTTGGTCTTGGGGGGGGGGTGCAGAGCCGGTAACAGTATGCAGGTAGAGAAGCCGGAAGCGCTTTTCGTGCCCTTAGCTGCAAGAAAGAGCATGCACTCCGTTTGGGTGGGTGCTCACTGTTGGGTTGCATAGTTCAGCGGGGAGGCTACCTAAGGAAGACCTGTTTGGAGGGATCTGGGTGGGACATGTCCTGCCTAATTCAGCTGCAGTTTTTTTCCTTTCCAGACCAGCTCCAAGCAAGCAGTGCGCAAACTTCAGCAGCTCTTGCGCTGCCGCCTGCAGCGCTTGCTTGCAGCTGGTTTGAAAGGGGAAAAAATGCAACCGAATTAGGCGGGACATGCCCCACCCAGATCCCTCCAAATGGGTCTCCCTTCGGTAGCCTCTGCACTGAACTACGCGACCCAAAAGTGATCGCCCACCCAAACGTAGCCCGCTCTTCTGAGCGCCCACTCTTTCTTGCAGCGAATGAGCTGGGAGTGCGAAAAGCGCTTCCCGCTTCTCTACTCCATGCTGTTGCACCCTCCAAGACCAACAAGACACCACTACCCAGGGCCACTGGCCGCTACCTGGGTGCAGAGCTTGTAACATAGCATGCAGGTAGAGGAGAAGTGGGAAGCACTTTTCAGTGGGGAGGCTACCGTAGAGAGACCCGTTTGGAGGAATCTGGGTGGGGTGTGTCCCACCTAATTTGGCTGCATTTTTTCCCTTTCCAAACCAGCTCCAAGCAAGCAGTGCAGGCGGCAGCGCAACAGCTGTTGACGTTTTGCGCTGCAGCCCGGTGAAATCAGGAGCTTTGCCGCCAACCCTGATGTCACCAGAGGCCTTCCCGGGATGGCTAGTATGTGTCCAGCCAGCCAGCCAGGCCCGCCCCCCCCCCCAGGCCCCCCCCCCCCGCAGCCCTCCTCCTTCCTAAGCGGCACGGCACCAGCAGCAGCAGCCAGCCAGCCATGCCACACACCCCCAGGCCCTCACCCCCCGCGGCAGCCCACCTGCAACTTACCAAAAATTAGGAAGGCGACGGCAGTCAACTGGGTGAGGAGCAGAGCAGCAAGGAGAACAATAAGAAAGCATCCAACAATTCAGCCTCGCACATGTGGTAAGAGGAGCTGCCCAGTGGGCATGCGCGTGGCGGGAAACAAACTTTCAGTTTATGGTGCACACATGCACACTGGCCAGCTAGTCTGATGATCTGAGCTTCGGGTTGCGAACCTGGAAGATAAATGGCCAACGCTGCGCAAGCCCACCTCCAGCACTTCTCTGCCACCCCCCCTTGCCTCTTAGTTTAGTTTATTTGATTTGTATACCGCCCTACTCCCGAAGGACTCAGGGCGGTGAACAGCCAAACAATAAAATACATAGATACAAAAAATTTAAAAACCAGATAAAATCAAATTAAATCATTTTGGCCCAGACAGATTAAAACACCCCAATAATTTAAAAACAGATTAAAATTTACATATTTAAAAAAGGGAAGAGATTAGGCCAAGCCCGCCTGATGGAATAAAAAGGTCTTCACAGCGCAGCGGAAGGTGCGCAGATCCGGGATCCTCCGTATCTCTGGGGGGGAGCTCATTCCAGACGGTAGGTGCCCCCACAGAGAAGGCTCTCCCCCTAGGGGTCGCCAGCCGACACTGTTTGGCTGACGGCACCCGGAGGAGTCCCTCTCTATGAGAGCGTACTGGCCGGTGGGAGGCTATTGGTGGTAGTAGACGGTCCCGTAGATAACCAGGTCCTAAGCCATGGAGCGCTTTAAAGGTGGTAACCAAAACCTTGAAGCGCACCCGGAAGACCACCGGGAGCCAGTGCAGCTCGCGCAGGAGAGGTGTTACATGGGAGCGCCATGTCGCTCCCATTACCACCCGCGCGGCCGCACTCTGCGCCAGTTGGAGCCTCCGGGTGCTCCTCAAGGGGAGCCCCATGTAGAGAGCATTGCAATAGTCCAGGCGGGAGGTGACGAGGGCATGAGTGACCATGCGTAACAAGTCCCGATCCAGAAAGGGACGCAACTGGTGAATCAGGCGAACCTGATGAAAAATCCTCCCGGTCACGGCCATCAAGTGCTCTTCTAAAGACAGCCGTGAATCCAGGAGGACGCCCAAGTTGCGAGCCCTCTCCGTGGGGGCCAATGATTCGCCCCCAATAGTCAGTGATGGCGTCAACTGACTATATCGGGACGTCGGAAACTACAGCCACTCAGTCTTGGATGGGTTGAGCCTGAGCCTGTTCCTCCCTTAGTGCCTTCCTTAGTGTCCCGCTGCCGCCCCCCTTCCCTCTTAGCGCCCCCCAAGTCATCCCACCGCCCCCTAGGGGGCAGTACTGCCCACTTTGGGAACCACTGAAATAACACATCTCAACAGAATCCAGCTGTAGACTTTATCCTGTTCGTCAGTCTGAAACAAAGCTGAAGGTGGAACACTGAGATTCAAATTTGACATTTGAAACATATATAGGCACTTAATAAGCTTTGACCTCAATTTCAAAAACAATTATTTTATACCTAAAGGCATTAAGAATTATGGCCAGCATCTCTGAAATTGGCCTTAAGCGCATTTATATGCCTTATACTGCTCAAAAAAATAAAGGGAACACAAGCAGAAGACATCCGAGATCTGAATGAATGAAATAGCCTTATTAAATACTTTGTTCTTTACATTCAGTAGTTTATACAGTGCTCAAACAACTAAAGGGAACACAAAACTACTGTATGTAATGAACAAAGCATTTAATAAGGCTATTTCATTCATTCAGATCTCAGATGTCTTCTGCTTGTGTTCCCTTTATTTTTTGAGCAGTGTATAAATCAGAGTGTTTAATACTGTCTCTGGGCCATTTTACCTCATTTTCCTTTGCAATATCTTCAGAATTTGCCTGCTTCTTTTCAACATGATGCAATTTGCATTTTTGCCTCTTTCTTAAAAGTCTTATCCATTGCAGGGATCCTCATCCTGGAACACAAGGAGTATCCTAATTAGAATTAGCCAATACCCCAATTATGTTTGCTGTAGATTCCAACAGGCTTGTTTTATAGGAATAGATTAGATGTCCTTAATTCTAATGTAGATTTAATAAAACATTTCCAATCCATAATTTCAAAATCACTGTGGTCAGTGTGCACTTGCCAATATTTTGGTACATGCTTGATGTAAGTAGCACAATTTCCTGTGTTTCTGTACAGCAGGAATGACTCCACATCCTGAACTTGTCCTTTTCCCCTTTCTTGCTTTCTGAGTTCATGTACATTTGCCCAAGTAACAGATTCTGCCTGAAGGCTCAGCAGCCTCTCCCGCATATGCCAGAGCCCCGAACCTGGCTTTTTCTGTCTCCCTAGAGTCCTTATGTAGACGTAGGTGCACGTCACCACCTGCTCTAATTTTATCCATGTCTGATGGGGGAGACTTAACTGAGCAGCAGGGAGGCAGCTATTTTGGTTTTTCTCTGTGGTTCTGGGTTATATAAAGCATCCAGCCGTGACCCATATTGCTCTAGAGCAGCCTTGTATTCTCTCTGGCTTAGATACAGCTAAAAGCATTATACATTTCCTCACTTTTTTTTTCGCACCAATGCTGACAGTATTTTTTTGTGGATAGTACTGAAAAAGGATGTGTTAAGACTTCAAGGCCCAGAGTACTGAAACTGTCTCTTTTTAAAAACACAGAACCTTTCTCCCAAGCACATTTGAGTTTAATCTGTATAGTTTATTCTTTCCTGGCTAAATAAGCATTTACCATTATAGTTTCAAACAAGTGAACAATAAAGCAGACATGGAGTAAAAAAATTCAATTAGAATCTAATTAAATAGAGCACATTTTACAATGTAATTCTCAGTTAATTTACAACTTCTGTCAAAAGACTAAAATTCCCAAACAGGGCATTATCCAAAGATGTTATGTTTCAAAAATCTTCAAATATGAGCTATGTTACTATCTCAATGGATCAAAAATTTCAGAAATTAAAAGGTATTTCAAAA